TTTTTATACTTTTTAAATAGTGAACAAGTTTACACATACCCAAACAGGCTCATATTTGATGTTACTTTTTGATATTTGATAATTGATAATTGATTTTGGTCTAATCATCTCCTAACATTTCTTTAGAATGTTCTTGTACAGAATTTACAAGCTCCTTCAATTTGGTGTATGCAAGGCGACTGACTATACCTCCTTCCGTTTGGGCCTTGCGGATTCCCTTGCCGTCACAAAGATTTGCCATTTGGCTATGGGGAAAGAAGAATGTTTACCATTTATATCAACTTGCAGCAAAATTATCAAATAAGAACTTTTCAATTTTCAAATGTGCTATCTCATACCTTTCAATGTAAGACATTGTGGTGCTGGCCTTTGGAGGGTAGAGCAACCCAAAATTGAAGAATACAGCACACAATGCCACTAATGCCTCTAGGCCATTCGTTAAAGAGGCATTGATGCAGGTCTTCTCCACGCACAGATAGAAAGTTTTAGCCTTGAAGGGAGAGTCTTCTGTGAATCAAAAATTTTTAATTACAATATCACCTAAACAGTTTGTTCTACTGAGAGAGAAATAAGGCTTACCTAAGGCGACAATACAGGGAGTTGCAGGTAAATCTGCCAATTCATCAGCCACTTCATGAGGGAGAAGAGTTTCCTTCAAAAAAAATCAAATTTACACATTTTATTACATTAATCTTTGATTTTTTTCTTTTGTCATAAACATTTTATATTATTTTACTTTGGCTTACTTCGGCAGTTAACAGTATGTCACTGAGGTTTTCATCGAAGTGGTTGACCAACATTTTTACCGCTGCAAGTAAGAGTGTGTGTTGTGCTTCAGGAACCATTACTACAGCTCTATTAATTTTAACATTTTTCTTTCGCTGGGGTGATTCCAAAGTGAGGTATGATATCAAGTCATCAAGCTTGTCTTTAACAAAGTCTTGAAAATTTTCTAAGACATCCACCCCAGTGATAGCATTTAAATGACAAAGAGAGCCCTGATACTCAAAAAGGAATGGCCACTTTTCAGTCACATCATCAATCGTTCTTTTTGGTGAAGTCAAGATAGCGCGTTGAGCAGGTAGGGATGCCAGCAGTTTTGATTTTATGTTATTCCAATCCCACTCAGATTTGGGACCTTTAAAAAGGATCAAAAGCTGGAGGCGAGTTTCTTCTGCTGCCTTTTTCTCTGCTTTAGTCATAGGAGGACAGTACTTGTGGGGCAGAATACATGATGCAGCACGGAGGCCTTTAGCTCTCTCAGTTGCATTAGACTTATTTACTGAGGATGTACGATATATGTTTTCTACACATGTTTCAATTTGGTCTATCAGTGTAAAATCACCATCCCCCACTACTTCCTCATTCAATGTATCTTGAAAGCACTTCTTAAAATCCTTAAATATAACTCTGACAATTTCCTTGTATCTCGGTCGCCCGGGGTGCTTCTGCGTAACTGATGGGTCTCTTTTCTTCAGAGCCTCATAAGCTGCCATCAAATCTTTTGATATGGTTAAAACCATACTCTCCCGATCTTCTTTCGATGGAACTTGTTCTTTTTCTAGGCTAGTCAAGAGACTATTTTTCATATTTCCCCATGCAATAGGAAAGTCAAAGCCCATTTTTTTAACATCAGTTGTAGAGATCTTGTCGCTCAGGGCTGGGCGAGATGGAATTGGGTTATCTAAAGCAGGTTGTGTTCTCATAAGAGATTTGTCCTTCCCTTTTTTTACATTGGGCTTTTCCTCTGTTGCAAGAGTAAAATAAAGTGTGTTACTACACAAAATATTAAGTATCTAAAAACATCAAACTAAACTCTAAATAACACAAACTTGGTTTCTCTGGCTGCTTCTTGTCTTCCCCACTAAACGCAATCATTATTTTCTTTAAAGGTCCAGGTTTTAGATTGAAAGTTGACAACCAGGCGGGCTCTACAATAGCAAGGTCACTGACATCCTCTAAAGCTATATTGACCACAAGGTGATTGGCAATATCTTTGCAAGTTGACTCTGGCACTATTGATGAGGCACCCTTAATTATTCCAGTTATAGCTTGTATCAATTCCTTCAAAAAATTTAATGGCATTTAAACTTAAGATATTTCTTATGTAACTTAAGGGGACTATATAGAAAAAGCCAAAACGTTAAAACTTACTTCATTTTGTGCTGGATTTATATTTGTCATTTCCCATGTCCTGTTAAGATCCATTTGATCATCCTGTGTCTCCAACTGGAAGAGATATCAACTTAGTAGGTAAAGTACAATTTTTGAAAAATTGACGATAAGAAATATGGTAAACATCTTTTACTTACCCTTTCACCACTACCATCATATGTGACTTCATCTTTGTCTTTATCATCATCTTCACTCAATATATCTTTGCCTTTATCAACATCTTCACTCCATATATCTTTGCCTATTTCAAGATCTTCACTAAACAGAAGGTCAAAAGAATTTTTTTCATTGTTTTGAGTCTCCATGTCATTGGTGGTGGAGTGTGAACCTAATAATGAAATAGAGATTTACATTTGTAAATTAAAAACTTCTGCTCATGCTAGTCTAGGACAAGAAACTAAAATATCTTTAAAGATTTCAGAACTATATGATTGAATAATTCACTTATACACTTATTATTACCTTTCTCTGAACTTTTTACAATATCTTTCACTACAGCCACTGAAGTTCCCAGACTTTCTGCCGCCTTCTTCTTATTTGGCAATTTTGGAGTTGAAGGAAAATTTTTAATTGGATTGTATTCTTGTGTTGTAGTTTCAGATGTTGTGGGATGAGAACCTATAACCAAAGAATTATTGTGAATTAAAGTTGATGTTAACATTTCTTTAAATTAGAAACACTTTGATGTTGTACTCAAAAAGTTACCAGAGGAGGAAGATGATGTTACTGCTGATGAGGCTTGCCGGGATGCCATGAATTTGGGTAGGGTAGGTGTTAAGCCTTATCAAGAAAAGCAATATATA